ATAAAGTTATTATTTTAACTACCTTACCCTGATGCTTAGCCATTTTACCCTGGGTATGATACATATTGGCAAAAATGGTACACTACATATAATTAATCATAGCTCTTAAAGTATTATAGGTAGAGAGCTCCACATTTTTTTATTTTGTAGATAAGAGAATTAGCTACATATAAATCTACAATATATTCTGTTTTGTTTATGTTTCAAAATTTTATAAATGGTAAAATAATACCAATCGTTTAAACCAAGTCTCTCCTACTTTTTTTGAAAAATCAGCAACTATGACAGTGTTTATATATGATTTTTAGGTGATTATTCTTTCAAGAGATTTTTACCATGTTGCTTTCCTCAGAGTTTATCCTCCCAAAGTTTTCTGGTGATTTTTTCCCCATTTTTCCAAGGAGTATTTTTACCCGGAATTATTTTTATTCTATATTATTATGAATTTTGCTTCAAATTTGAGTAATATATCTTAAATAATTTTAGTTCTCATAATCTTATAAATCAAAAAATTGTAGCCATTATAGGCGATAAATCTTTATAGTATAATTGTATAAATAAAATGGCCATCAAAACATTTTACTTGCATAATAGAATTCCAATAGCAATTGAATTTCCAATAAAACCAAGAATCAATATTACCGGATATATCCTAAGATATATAAGATTTTCTAGAGTTGAGACCCCCATCAATGATTCAATATAAAAGCATCCTCTACTAGTTATATCCACAACTGCATTTGAAATAACCATTAATATGAAGATTTGTAGATTAACCTTGAAATCGGTTTTGATTTAAATAATTTAAATTCGCTTTTTTAGTCGTGCATAATAAAATCAATTTCGATTATTTATACTAATTAAAAAATTACCACCCCCCCCTTTCTCTCTATTAATTTGTATATTAAATTAAAAAATATATTATTCGATAATTAGATATAATTAGGGTGTTTATTCATTAAAACCGACACTTTAATTATGATAATTATTTTTCATGACTAAATCTACGTAATTCATCTTGTTTTAGGCCCAAGAATATCTAAAAATATGTGCTAAATTCGCAAATTTCTAAACTCTAAATTGGTTCTGGTTGAGATTAATAACCATTTAATTTGGAAAATAAATAACAGTTTCTTTATATTTAGCTCAAATCTTTAAAAATAAAGCACTAACGACAGTGCCTTTTATCACGGGGGCGGGGGGCGGGGGGGGGAGTAGGATGGAATAACGTCTTCATTAGAATCGAAGGAGAATAGAATAAAATCAAAAATATATAAATAAAATAAATCTCTCATATAAAAGGCTGCCATATTTACATTTTTTTTGTCACATTTTTTTAGGCTAATTAAAAATTTTTTGACTGAAAATATTCACTCTTGGTCTTAATGGGTTGAATCTAGTCTGAGGGATGGAATAAAAATAAAAATTTCATATGGGTGTCAAATAAAGGTAATTATATTGTCTTTTGACTGTAATGATAATTATCACTCTAAGTTCGGGTGACAATGTTTTAGGGATCAGGAATATTTTTATAAACATAAACATTGATATAGGTTAGAGACCTGCAGGGGTACCATTTGCACAGCCCGAAATTTTTCGCAAAAATTTTTTCGGCCAGGTCCGAGTTTTCTATTTTAAGAGCCAATGCAGGATTGTGAAATCAATATTGATATTATCATTGAGATTCAATATTGTATTGATTTTTAAAAGATGTTTTAATGACTTCAAATATATTGGCGGCCATTAAAATTGTTAAATATTTATTCTTTATATATTTTTTCATCGTTTCAAATATATTGGCGACCATTAAAATTGTAAAATATTTGCAAATATATTGGCGGCCATTAAAATCGTAAAATATTTAATTTATTAATATATATTTTTTCATCGCTTCAAAAATATTTTTAAATAGATTTAATTAAATATATTTAAATGATTATAAAAATGATTTTCCATCTTTTATAATTTTTTCAGGGAATTTATTTATTTTACAATTCTTGCTATCCTATATAATTTTTATTTGTTTACTCATCTATAAGTGTTGTTTCAAAGTTTTATAATTGATATTATGAATTTAAACAAATTAAATGTACCTTATTGATTGAATGAGAATCTATAAAATCGTTGTGCTAAGCTATAATTGTCGATTTATAAATGTTGATTTAAAAATTTGTAAATTATATTTTAGATTTTATAAAAGTTGAGGATCGGTCATAAATTATCAATACTGTATTGATTTTACACTATTGTAGAATCAAATCAATACCGTATTGATACCAGATGGTGTTGATTTTACAATACTATACCTTCCGGGATTTTTTAAAAATATATTATAATTATTAAAATTTTTTATAGCTAATAATGGCGATTTAAAATGATTGATTTCAAAATATACGGCCCCAAGCCCTAGTATTTTTTTGAAAAAAATATTTAGACCTGGCCCGGGTGGCGTGTCTTAAAGTCGGGCCTGCCGGTCATTGATATGAGTATCAAATAAACGCTAATCAAAAATTTTTGACTCAAATAATAGTAGTCACTCTTGATCTTATTAAGTTTTACTTAAATCTAGAGAAAGAGTGTGGGGGGGGGGGGCAAAAAAGTAAAAATCGGATGGGTACCAAATAAAAGGTAACATAGGATAAAATTTTCACTTCCCCTAATTCTCGACGAGCTATATATAAGTATATATATAAATCAGATGAGATGTTTCAAAAAGAATAATTAATTATATTAACTACGGACTCGGGAACATAGCGCAGATTTGGATCATTTACTGACAAATCAGCCAAAAATGAGATTTTAGGAAAACCCTTTTAAAAACAAATGAGGTTTGATAGAATGATTATATAGTGTAAATTTTATTATATCTAATTTTAACGAGCTAGCTTAAACAAATCTAATCCATAAGATATTGGACTTTATTATATATCAATCTATAGCCCTTAAAAGAAATTTATTTAAAGTAAAAATCTTCCGTTGAATGTTTTTTTCGATAAAATAAAACAAGAAAATTTTTGAGAAGAAAATATTTTTGGACTATGAAACTTATAATCAGAAATATTTATTATCTTTTATATTTAAAGGAAACGTTTATTAATTTCATTTAAATTTTTATTTTAAGATTTTCGTGGTGGTGGGGTTGGGGGGGGGGTTCTGCTCTCCCTAATGGGAATTTTAGGTTTGCTGCATGGAAATAGTTTTGCGTAATCGACTAATTTCGAGTACAAAACTGCTTAGCCGAGATTTTAGGTGAAAAAATCGGTATGAAATCGGCTAACTTAATTGGTCAAAAATTCTGCATCGGCTAATCGTCCGTCAGCGTTCCGTAAGATATGCCTAGCATTTATTATTATTTATTTATTTTTAGTAAAACAATTTATTTTATTTATATTTAAAGTTAATATTTAATTATTATCAACAAAAAAACATGATATGATTTAATATTTTTTATTCATATTATTATATTATAAAATGAAATATGATTATATTATGAAATGAAATGTGATTATATTATGAAATGTTTTTCCCCAAGTCTAGGACGATGATCAGAAAGTATATACAATAAAAAAATGATATGCTGCTATTGTAATATTATTTTTGTTACAATTTATTGGTGATTTTCATGCCCAAAATTTTAAGCAAAAAAATCTTATCAAGTTAAAAAAAAAATTTTGAACACATTTTGATTTGATAAGAATTTTAAATCTTTTTTGAAGAATTCTCTTGTGAATTTTATTATGAATAAACAATCTTTAGGTGAAATTTTGTAGTTTTTATTTTTATCATTTTTGTAAAATTATCTATTTTTTTAAGTATAATAAAAAGGTGGTTTTTTCTAAATAATTTTTTTTTAAATATTTATATTTAACTTTTTTATGTCATTTTATATGATCTTTTTAAACATAATATTTTATGTGACAATTGTCATATTGGTTATTTTTAAACATTTTTGAAATTTTTTGACACAAAGGGGTAAAAATATAATTTATATTGTAAAGATTTTAAATTATAAATTCAATCAAGATGTTGGAAAAATAACAATTATGATAATCGGTATTTTTAAACATATTAGATTTTTATGACGCATGGGCAAAAATATGTATTTTTAACACCCTCTATTTCACGCTATATCAATTAAAGCGAAATATTTATAATACTAATTTTTTTTTACTCTCTATATATATCTAAAGAAGGAAACGATATTTTTTCCCGAATTTTTTAAATATTTCTAAGTTTTTTGGAGTATGTTAACTAGAATACACAACGCACATATAAGGGTAAAATATTTTTATTTTAATCTTGTAAATTATTATATAATGTATAAAAATGATAAACAAATGCAAAAAAATCAGTTTTTATGAAATATAGTAAAACAATTATTTGCTGGAGTAAAACATAATGATACCCCGCATTTGTCGCACGCTACTTTTGTAATCCCCTTACATCCTGGTAATTTGCACCTGACCTTTTTGTCATTATACTTAGGCCAATGTGCAAATTGGTCTTTCCGAATTTGGTAAACATTGTGCTGTACCTTTTTTACACTTTTTTATATATTCCGATTGCACCGATATTCGTTTATTACCCGTTACTGAATTAATGCTTTTATTCTTTGCACAATACTTCTGCAACTGATATTTTAAAAGTTAGGAGCGACTCCTGCTCTTTCCTGGGAATTTGTAACAGGTTACAATCTCTCCGGTACAATAGCCATGAATTAACAAGCATCATGTCAAATATATGAAAGGCTACTCGGTGATACCATTTTCGGGACCTGATATGAATTCTATATAATGCTAGTAGGGAATCTATAAGATCCACTCCACCCATGTTTTTATTATAATTTTTAACAATGGCTGGACATTTTACGTTAATGCTTTCCTTTTTTTTTCTATCGAATCGTTTCACGTCAGATATCGGGTGGGCCCCTATAAAGCTGCTCATTAGATAAACTGAACGATTGTCAAACCATTTGATTACAGATAATTCTACTCCATTGATCACCGTTTTTTTTCAACAAAACTTCCTCTTCCTTTTTTTTTGATCTCTTGATCTGTCGGCAAAACACAATTTTTGAGGCGATTTGCCCTAACCGTTGATACACATTGTATTCCCCTTTGCGCTAATATAACCAGTAAGTTTATGCTAGAGAACCAATTGTCAAAGTATAACTTATAATTTTGATCCAATGGAACTGCGACAACCATGTGCAGAACTGAATTCCCACAAGCTCCTATATCTGGCATACCTTCGGCTTGGAGAATCTTCCCCATATACATTTCATAATTATAAACAATACCATCATTTCCACATAATAAAAAGAATTTAAAACCCCACTTTTTAGGCTTTTGGGGGTTGTATTGTTTCATCTTACTTTGTCCCTTGAAAGGAACAACTTGCTCATCGACGCATAGATTTTCTCCTAGTGTAATATCTTTTAAAATATTTGTTGTGATCGTCAGCATAGGTCGTATTTTATGAAGAGCATCATACCCTTCAGTCACAAAAGGACATGCTTTCGTGTTGTCATTTATGTGAAAACATGATTTTATGAACTCCCACCTTTTTACTGACATAATGTTAGCTACATTAGCGATTCTAGTAATAGCCGTCCAATATAAACGAGCTCTTGGTAGATTTATAATGCTCATATAGAACAAAATTCGTATGAATTGTTCTAATTCATCTAACAATAAATTAAGGGGTCTGCTTATATCTTTTTGAATAGAATATAGATTTGATTGTTGAACTATTGTAGGAAGTATATTTCCCAGTAAAAATTTGAAGTAGTATATCGGATTTTTAACTTTATTGGCGAAGGGTAAACTGCCTTTCCAATCTGGGGCTACTCGTGGGACATTAGTTAAAGAGGATTTCCATATATTTCGTCGTCCTGACAATCCATCATCAGGATGGCTTGAGTCAGAGTCATTACTTTCAATATCCGAATAATCTGATTCAATTGCCCCTAAAAATATTTATTATAGCATAAGAAATACTAAATTTACCAGTATCACATGGTAAATATTCTTCATCAGACGAATCACTCAATTGAGAATCCTCACTATCTACCGGTATTCTATAATTTATATCACTAGTCATTGAGCTATAAATTTATTTGATAAAATTTTCAATAAATATTTTATTATAACAAAAATCGTCTAAATGGGCAATGTTAACCTCAGTTAACATATCATATTATTAGAAATAAAAAATGTTTTGTTATGTTAAAATTTATAAAAATATAATAATTATATAAAATGATATTATTTTTACTAGATTTAAAAATATTTATAGAATTCCACTAGAATTTAAATGATTTATAACGAATCAAAATACGATAAATAAATTTAAATTTTCAAGGTAGCCATTTTATAAAAAGCGAAAAATAAATGTATAATATTTGATAGAAAAATAATGTTATGTTCATGATTGACGTCTTTATTATAAAATATATATGTTACTTAGAATATACAATGCGCGTTAGATCGTAAAATCAATTATAACAATATTTATAGCAAAATATTTAAGACGTTGCCTCAGGTTTACAAAGTGCAATAGAGGGTAATATGTTAAATTAAAATTTCAATTAAGATGTACCATTAAAAGTGACAATCGTCATAATCGTTATTTTTAAAGTTTTATGAATTTCTTTGACGCAAATGGGCAAAAATAAGTATTGCTAACATGTTAAATTAAAAATAGTGAAGATGTACCATAGATAAATGACAATAATCATAATCGTTATTTTTAAATTTTCACGTAAATGGTCTGAAATATGTATTGCTAACATGTTTAAATAAAACTTCAGCGAAAATGTACCCTAGATAAGTGACAATCATAATCGTTATTTTTTAAGTTTTTTGAATTTTTTTGACACAAATATGCAAAAATTTAGACTGCTAACTAGTGTTGCGTAATCAGCTAATTTTAGCCGACTAAAAACGGCTTAGCCGAGATTTTAGGTGGAAAAATCGGCTAAGCTTAATTAGGTATAGCCTAAAAATCGGCTAAGCCTAATTAGGCTAAGCCTAAAAATCGGCTAAACCTAATTAGGCTAAGCCTAAAAATCGGCTAAGCCTAAAAATTGGCTAAGCCTAAAAATCGGCTAAGCCTAAAAATTGGATAAGCCTAAAAATGGGCTAAGCCTAAAAATTGCCTAAAATAAATTAGTCAAAATTCTGCATCGATGCTTAGCATTAATTATTATTTATTTATTTTAGTAAAATAATTTATTTTATTTATATTTAATGTAAATATTTTATTATTATCAACAAATAAACATGATATGATTTAATATTTTTTATTTATATTATTATATTTTGAAATGAAAATAAATTTATTTATTTGATGTTTTTTTAATAAAAAAAAATAATATGCTGCTATATTGTAAAAATGTAATATTATTTATAATATAATTTATTAGTGATTTTCACAATCTTCTTTGTAAATACATCTTTTATTGAGGAATTATATTGTAAATTTTATTAGATAAATAAACAATCTTTTAGGTGAAATCTTTTATCATTTTTTTAAAATTATCTATTTATTATTAAATAAGGTGGATTTTATGAAACTTTTTTGATGTTATTTTATATGATCTTTTTAAGGATAATATTTTAATGTGACAATTGTCATAATCGTTCTTTTATAAGTTTTTTGAATTTTTTTGAAGGAAGTATGTTAAAATAAGTATTAATAACATGTGTAAATACAAATTAAGTGAAGATGTACCAATGAAAAGTGATAATTGTCATAATCGTTATTTTTAAAGATTTTCGAATTTTTTTGACGAAAATATGTTAAAATAAGAATTAATAACATGTGTAAATATAAATTTAGTGAAGATGTACCAATGAAAAGTGACAATTGTCATAATGGTTAATTTTAAAGTTTTTTGAATTTTTTTGACGAAAATTTGTTAAAATAAGTATTAATAACATGTGTAAATATAAATTTAGTGAAGATGTACCATAGAAAAGTGACAATTGTCATAATCGCTATTTTTAAAGTTTTTTGAATTTTTTTGACGAAAATATGTTAAAATAAGTATTAATAACATGTGTAAATATAAATTTAGTGAAGATGTACCAATGAAAAGTGACAATTGTCATAATCGCTATTTTTAAAGTTTTTTGAATTTTTTTGAAGAAAATATGTTAAAATAAGTATTAATAACATGTGTAAATATAAATTTAGGGAAGATGTACCAAAGAAAAGTGACAATTGTCATAATCGTTATTTTTAAAGTTTTTTGAATTTTTTTGACGACAATATGTTAAAATAAGTATTAATAACATGTTTAAATAAAAATTTAGTGAAGATGTACCAATGAAAAGTGACATTTGTCATAATCGTTAATTTTAAAGTTTTTTGAATTTTTTTGAAGAAAATATGTTAAAATAAGTATTAATAACATGTGTAAATATAAATTTAGTGAAGAAGTACCAATGAAAAGTGACATTTGTCATAATTGTTATTTTTAAAGTTTTTTGAATTTTTTTGAAGAAAATATGTTAAAATAAATATTAAAAACATGTTTAAATTAAAATTTAGTGAAGATGTGCCATAGAAAAGTGACAATTGTCATAATCGTTATTTTTAATTTTTTGAATTTTTTTGACGAAAATATGTTAAAATAAATATTAATAACATGTGTAAATATAAATTTAGTGAAGATGTACCAATGAAAAGTGACAATTGTCATAATCGTTATTTTTAAAGTTTTTTGAATTTTATTGACAAAGATATTTTAAAATAAGTATTGATAACATGTTTAAATAAAAATTTAGTGAAGATGTACTCTAGATAAGCGACAATTGTCATAATCGTTATTTTTAAAGTTTTTTGATTTTTTTTAACGAAAATAGTTAACTTGCTTCGATATTGATTTTAAAATAGAAAAAAAAGTTTACCCAAATTTTAAACAAGATTGTCTGGTGAAAATTGGTAAAAAAATAATAATTTCTAACTTGGGATTAGATATTATGATATAAATTTTGCATATTAATTTCTGACCCGATGAACAAATGTAATAAAATGCCAATTTGCTCCTGTTTTTGGGGAAGAATCTATTATTACCATATGTTTTTCTATGGCATATACTCAGGCAATTTTAATTTTACAATCTATATTTTTACCCATTTACATCAAAGAAATTTTAAAAATAACGATTATGACAATTGTCACTTTTCTATAGTACATCTTCACTAAATTTTTATTTAAACATGTTATTATTACTCATTTTAACATATTTTCGTCAACAAAAATTCAAAAAACTTTAAGAATAACGATTATGACAATTGTCACTTTTCATTGGTACATCTTCACTAAATTTATATTTACACATGTTATTAATACTTATTTTAACATATTTTCGTCAAAAAAATTTAAAAAATAACGAATATGACAATTGTCACTTTTCATTGTCTTCACTAAATTTATATTTACACATGTTATTAATACTTATTTTAACATATTTTCGTCAAAAAAATTCAAAAAACTTTAAAAATAACCATTATGACAATGTCAATTTTCTATGGTACATCTTCACTAAATTTTTATTTAAACATGTTTTTAATACTTATTTTAACATATTTTCTTCAAAAAAATTCCAAAAACTTATAAAATAACGATTATGATAATTGTCACTTTTCTATGGTACATCTTCACTAAGTTTTTATTTAAACATGTTTTTACTACTTATTTTAAGATATTTTCTTCAAAAAAATTCAAAAAACTTTAAAAATAACGATTATGACAATTGTCACTTTTCATTGGTACATCTTCACTAAATTTATATTTACACATGTTATTAATACTTATTTTAACATATTTTCGTCAAAAAAATTCAAAAAATTAAAAATAACGATTATGACAATTGTCACTTTTCTATGGCACATCTTCACTAAATTTTAATTTAAACATGTTTTTAATACTTATTTTAACCTATTTTCTTCAAAAAAATTCAAAAAACGTATAAAATAACGATTATGACAATTGTCACTTTTCTATGGTACATCTTCACTAAATTTTTATTTAAACATGTTTTTAATACTTATTTTAACATATTTTCTTCAAAAAAATTCAAAAAACTTTAAAAATAACGATTATGACAATTGTCAATTTTCTATGGTACATCTTCACTAAATTTTTATTTAAACATGTTTTTAATACTTATTTTAACATATTGTCGTCAAAAAAATTCAAAAAACTTTAAAAATAACGATTATGACAATTGTCACTTTTCTTTGGTACATCTTCACTAAATTTATATTTACACATGTTATTAATACTTATTTTAACATATTTTCGTCAAAAAAATTCAAAAAACTTTAAAAATAGCGATTATGACAATTGTCACTTTTCATTGGTACATCTTCACTAAATTTATATTTACACATGTTATTAATACTTATTTTAACATATTTTCGTCAAAAAAATTCAAAAAACTTTAAAAATAACGATTATGACAATTGTCACTTTTCTATGGTACATCTTCACTAAATTTATATTTACACATGTTATTAATACTTATTTTAACAAATTTTCGTCAAAAAAATTCAAAAAACTTTAAAATTAACCATTATGACAATTGTCACTTTTCATTGGTACATCTTCACTAAATTTATATTTACACATGTTATTAATTCTTATTTTAACATATTTTCGTCAAAAAAATTCGAAAAACTTTAAAAATAACGATTATGACAATTGTCACTTTTCATTGGTACATCTTCACTAAATTTGTATTTACACATGTTATTAATACTTATTTTAACATACTTCCTTCAAAAAAATTCAAAAAACTTATAAAATAACGATTATGACAATTGTCACATTAAAATATTATCCTTAAAAAGATCATATAAAATCATCAAAAAAGTTTCATAAAATCTACCTCATTTAATAAAAAAGATAATTTAAAAAAAATGATAAAAAAATTATAAAAGATTTCACCTAAAAGATTGTTTATTTATCTAATAAAATTTACAATATAATTCCTCAATAAAAGATGTATTTATAAAGAAGATTGTGAAAATCACTAATAAATTATATTAAAAAGAATATTACAATTTACAATATAGCAGCATATTATTTTTTTTATTAAAATAACATCAAATAAATAAATTTATTTTCATTTGAAAATATAATAATATAAATAAAAAATATTAAATCATATCATGTTTATTTGTTGATAATAATAAAATATTTACATTAAATATAAATAAAATAAATTATTTTACTAAAATAAATAAATAATAATTAATACTAAGCATCGATGCAGAATTTTGACTAATTTTTAGCAGATTTATATAGGCTTAACCTAATTAGGCTTAGCCGATTTTTAGTTTTAGCCGATTTTTAGGCTTACCTAATTAGGC